GGGAAAGGGTCAGATATAAGATTTTTTTTCTTCTTTCTGCTACTTTTTATTTGATTTGATTTCTATTATTTGGTTTGATTTTTAAATAAAAATGAATAAACATTTTTTAAATGAAAAAAAAAGCTGATAGGAGCACAAAAGGTTTAAATTAGCAGAATTGCTGAAAAGTGTTTAATAACAGAAAAAGCTAAAAACCTTTAGGTATAAATGGCTAAAATACCAAAAACAGCCAAAATGTCCTGAAAGTGCTGAAGGTTTTGATGTAAAAACTGGAATAAAATGTGAACAGAAGAAACTGAATCATCTCAATAATGTGAATTCTTTAATTTTAACAAATATTATTTACAAACGGATTAAATGAGCTGCACCAGAGGAAACCTCCTCCTGCTTAAAGAAGTTTCTTCATTTAAAAAGTAAATCATAAATAACAAATTCATTCAATTAGCATCGACTTAATAAAGCTTCTGTGAAACAAATGTAACTTTTTATTATGTTAAAAACTTTTTGTCCATAAAAGAGGTTTGGTTTTATTTTCTCAACATTTCAGAATAAATATTTCTGTGTTCTTTTGAGACGATGTCATTGTTTGTCCTGCAGAACACAGGATGTCATTTTTATTATAATAAAATGTAAATTTAGTTGTTTTTCTTCTACATTCACCTCCTGAGTTGAAGCTAAATCTTTTTTTTATTCTTAAATCATTTCAGTCCCATCGTTCAGGACATTAACTTCTCTGCAGCTCCTTTTTTTTACATCTTTATCTTTTATTGACCTCATTAAATCAACTCATTGAGTTTTATTATCTGACCTGTGATGAGCTGAGTGCTGACGCAGGTGGATGTGAAAAACCGCAGGTCTGAGGTGATTTAAAGACTCGGAGACCTGCAGCACAGGAAGGGGAAGCAGAGCAGAACAAAAGCTGGCCTGTTCTGCTCAGACGTGTAAATCCTCCTGTGAGCTCGAGCGTTTGTCACTTTATCTGCCTTTAAATCAGAGCGCTGAGCTGCTCCCTCTGCAGCTCCACTCATCGATGGAGACGCAGCCGACCCGAGGATCTGAGCACTTCCTGTTTGAAACAGGAAGTTGATGGACGGAGAGGCGACTCAGTCGTGGTTCTCTGTCGGCCCCAGTTTTCCTTCATGTAATTAAAATAGTTTTGTTTCCTCTCTGTTAAACTGTCGCCGTCACGTCTTCCTCGTTGGCCATCTTTACTTACATTTGACCTGGAGGTTTTGGGAGACTTCCTGTCTGACGTCTTAAAGTTCCAGCAGCTGCGTTTCCATTGACCATGAAAATGCGCAAAGTAGAATTTCGAAAATAAATTTGCTCAATGGAAACTCGTCAATTACGAAAAAAAATTACTTTTTTTGACAAAATGTTTTTGCGCTAGAATGAGGTGGTATTTTAGTTGTATCGAAATTGGTGTTTTTCGCAAAACTACAATGGAAACACTTTTTTCACATCACAGGAGTCACGTGATCAACAACCGGCTGTTTCTACTGGTGAAAAAGACGAAGAAGAAGATAACAGGAAGTAGAAGTAGTAGTAATATCACAGAAGTAGTATAAAGTAGTAAACTCACCGACTACAATTTCCCAAAAACACAGCATACGTAGCCGCTCCCAAGTAGGGACTTGTCTCTGGAAAGCCTCGATAAAAGATGCCGACGTCTCCTCTGATGATGAGCGCTAGTGTCGTGGTAGCAACATGCTATGTGTTTACATCCATCACCACCATGTTTGTAATGACTTATCGAGAGAACAAACGTATTCACGTGACTTTAATAGCATTTCTTACTTAATGGAAACACCACAGTTGCGAAACTGTTTTTTTTCGACATTAACAGAATATCGACAAAGTTTTGCGCACATCTGCTATGGAAACACAGCTACTGATGTCCTTCAAACACAGTCAAAGAAAACCTCTTTATTTAAGAAACGTTGAAATACACACAATTTTATCCATTTTGTCACATAAACTGGCAGAATTTCTGTTTGAACTTGAAATGAAAGTGAAACAGGAAGTGACATCAAAGGGGGGCTCTTTAAGAGAAGGAACTTCCTGTTTTTTGTTTATTGAAGCAATATTAAAACCCTGACTCTTTTACTTTGATAATGACTCAAAATAATCTAAAACTCAGGTTCTTCTCTACAGTATGTTAGCTGTTGTAGCAACGCTCTTATTGCTGGGTTTCAGTCACATGACCCAGATGACACGTGAAATTCAGATGTGGGCAGGAAGTGATTTGCTCCGGTTCAAAACAGAGAAATGGATCACAGCGAGTACGCTAATGCCCTAAATGTTCTGGCAGACGAGATATCGCAAAAAACACACACTAAAAGGTATTTTGACAACAAATATATCAGCTGTAGCAGCGTCATATGAATTCTGACATTTTGCACGTAGTCCACCAGGGGGCGCCAACACAAAACTCAGAGAATTCACGTGAGTTTTGTGCCATCTTCTGGTGGAAAAACAGATTTATTTACTGTACTTCGGTAATGCCTACTCGCAAGCACCCCCTCCAATGGGTAAACGTTTTTCAGAGAAATAAACTTTTTCAGAACACCGGTAGACGGCAGCCATTACAGAGGAACGTGTGTTTGTTGTTCCAACAGCGGCCAAGTCGCACACTAATGTCATTAGCTCGTTATCATTACTAAGCTGCAGGACTGCCTTTTTTTCTTTTCTTTTTTTATATCATGTCGCCTGCTTGGATCTGTTACTACCTTGCTCCAAGGCACGAAGGAGTGTCAGCGGTAAGCTCGCATCAACCGCTGTTTGCAACGCGGTCTCATTTCCGAACTCTGGCGTTTTGTGATTGAGGCTGATATTCTGGTTAAAATACATAAGAAAAATATTGATCCGAGTATAGTACAAAAATATTGATCCGAGTATAGTACAAAAATATTGATCCGAGTATAGTATAAAAATATTGATTCGAGTATAGTACTACCTCCAACTTTATGCATGATTTTATGGATTTAAATTTCTCGTATTATACTTGAATAAATACGGTAGTTATTTTGACTCTGAATCAACAGAAAGAAACGGGGCTGAGTTTACTTCCTACCTCCGTCTGCATTTCCTGACGTCGGTACTACAGACACTCCCCTTTGACATCACTTCCTGTTTCTTCACACGCAAATATCTCAACAACTGTTCATCTCAGCGATGTGATTTTTTTGCAACATGTTAATAATGTTTTATTTCAAAAATGCATTCATAATTAGCATAAAAAATTGACGTGACAGACCCTTTAAAGTTTGAGTGTTTGTATAGCTCCACTCCCTGCAGCACCAAACCTCTTCAGTCTTGTTTTTATCATCGTGTGTGAGCGCTCCCAGGTCTTGAAAATAAACCGACACATTTAAAATCTTGCCGTGTGAACCCGACATCACTCAGTCAGCTCAGGTGGTCCGACCTCGACTGGATGATGCCAGACTGTCAAAAGCTTCTTTATTTATATTTCCTGGTTGTTTTTCTTTCTTTTTGCACTTTTCACTGCTCATTTTAATATTTTCTCTTCATCCATTTTATAACTTCATCCTCCTTTCATTCTTTTTCCATCAAACAGAGAAAATCTGGCCCACATGATTAAAAAATATCATATAAAGCTGCTAAATGAGTGAATGTGAGGACATGAATGAAAGTATTTCAGATTCTCTCTGGTCCCCTCTTGAACTCTGACTCTTTTATTGGATGTATTTATGTAAATATATCCATTAAGTATTTGTTTCTGACCTCTTCCCTCCTTTTCTCTGACCTCCTTCCTTCCATCTGCTTCCTCTGGCAGTAATGTAGACACAAAGGAGCTGTGTGGTGAGTGAAGCCATCATGAACATGTCTGTGTAAACCCTCTGATGTGTTCCAAAATGTTTTGATTTATGTGCACTGTGTGTGTGTGTGTGTGTGTGTGTGTGTGTGTGTGTGTGTGTGTGTGTGTG